CGGCCCCAGGCGCCCACGGGGGCCAAGCGCGGCCACACGGAGCTATCTCGCCGCGCCACGCGGGGTGCGCGCTCGGCACGGCCGCGTGCGCGCGGCGATAGCGGGGCCGTGCGGCGCCGCCAGGAGCCTTCGTCTCCGCAGGCCCCTTCTGATGCAAACGCAGGCTCCTCGGGCTGGCTTTTTACACGAGCCTTTTACAAGCCTGAAGCAAAGCAAAAGGCGACTTCTCCTCGAGGTATTCCTCGAAGGCAAATATACCGCAGGACAACTTCGTTTCACTTTCTTTTTTTTTTTTTCTAACTGTAAAAGTGTCGCGGTGGCAAAAATTAATTGGGGAAACAGCCTCTGAAACACCAAACTTTTAAAAACTTACTTGAACATTGAACTTTTCTACTTCCCCTGGATGCAGAGAAAGAAACCTGTGCATAGAAACATATGAAATACCCGCTGCAAAGCTGCGTGGGTGTTTTTTGGGTGAGAATAAGTGCAACCTGCAGATCCTGCCGAAATGCATGGGGCCTGTGCACATCCCAGTCCATAAACAAAACTTTAAAGACTGTTTTTCGTGAATGCTGCAAGAGTTTTGTGTGGGAAGTAGGTTTTCAAACACATTACAAAAGGAGGAAACGTCACGGCTGTTTTAGAAGTCCTCAGATGTGTGCAGAAGTGACATACATGTTATGTATTATCTTCCCAGAACAAACACCATTTGAAACGTGCCCCTTTTTAACTACCCTCACGAGCCGTCGAAAGAGCATTTTGGTTGAAACTTGGGAGGAAAGGAAAAAAAAAAAAGGAAAAAAAAAAAACCCTACTGATCTTACACCTGCTCTTTAGCAGTGGGAAGTGGGTTCTCAATCTGTTAACATGACCATCTGGCCAATCTGCATATCACGGCTCTCCGGATCACTGTACGAAGGAATGACAATACCGCAGCCAAAACAAAAGTAAAACGCATCAAAAAACTAACAGCGGTGCAGCTCTTTTGATTTAAATTAAATAATAAATGCGGTATCACAGCAAAGCAAGGAAGCCATCTAAATAATTAAAAACGAGCCTCCGTCGCAGCATAATTAAGTAAACAATATGGTGCGCGCGCGAGCGCGGCCCCGGCCGGCGATAGTTTGCAGGGGCGGACGCTGCACTTTGCGCGGGAGTCGGGGAGGCTGCGGGGGGGCCACTCGCG